TATATATATATATATATATATATATATATATATATTATATATCAAGCTTAAAAGCTACAAGGGTGATACTATTTATGTGATATGAAAGATTTAGGTGGAATAAATATAAAAGGTAAAGTTTAGGTGCTATATATGCAATAAAATTGAAAATGGCTAGCATGAATGTAAATGCACATGTAAAAGGAGTGCCCACATTATGTCACGCATGCACTCTGAGTTTGGCGGGGCTACGCGAGAGTAGTGCAGTCCAACACTACTTTTTTCAGTGTTTGTTTAATGCATTCCTCCCGCATTATATATTACGTGACACATCATAGGTTTGTTTTAATGTTGTGATCCCTAAGTTGTATTTCTCAACTTTGTTATGTTATTACTTGCTCCGCCCTCACTCCAAGCCCTCTCCCCCACTTCCATCTCCCTGATTTTGCTCTCTACCCTAACCTCTAAAACTACTCTGTGCGCGAAGGTAGCGAAGGTAACAAATCCCGAGAGAGGTACCCTCGATCTTTGTTCTTCTTATCTTCCCCCTTAGCTCCATTCTCTCTAAACGTACATTGATCTCTAGTTCTCTACCCTGATTTTTGTGAGTTAGTTTCTGCCAATTTTTTCAATTCCTAGTGATGATCCCTAGTCTTTTACATGTATGTGTTTTCCCTCGCTTATACAAGTTCATATTTAAAAGTTTGGATCTCTCTATCTTTTTTTTAGTACTTTGTGAGATTTCTATCTCTCTACAAGTATATGCTGGTGTTTCGTCCATAAGGATTTTGATATCTCTGCGTTTGAGTAGTACATGATGAGATTTGATGTGGGGAAATTTTTTGTTATTCTTTGTGCAGGTTGGATGATCTCTATGTGCACATTTTGTGTAGGATTTCTTGGTGTTTGTGCTCGTACATATTTTGATATCTCTGCCTTTTGGTTCTGATGTTTATTAAAATTTATGTTGAGGCATGATTTACATTCAAGAGCACAATTCTTATGTGTTTACATTCAAGAACACAATTCTTATGCGTGTGTTTTGAGTAGTATATAAGGATTTACATACAAACCTAGCACACAATTTTATGTGTTTACGTTAATGCCATCTGCATACTAACATGGAAGTTTGGAGATTGGTGGTAGTTGTATTCGTGCGCATTTAACTAATGAGGCATGATTATTTTATGTTGCTTATGTGTAATAGTGTCATTTCGATGTGGTTTTACTGATCTGAATGTTATGTGCCTAAATCTGAAAGTTGTGGTGTGAGATATGTAAATTCATTAGAATTGTGTGCTATGTATGTAAATCAATCTTGTTGGATGAATTGACTATGTGGTATTGGTGCATGCTAGTTAAATATGTGGGTTGGTGTATACTCGTTGGATAAACTTTTCTCCCTGTTCAAATTTTATGAGACGATGTTGGAATATTAGAGGAATGTGGGGTTGGAGTAGGCTACTTAAATATATAATCATATGTTATATCATTTCAAATTAATGTGATGAGTAAACAACATATATGCTACATCATTTTATTCTCAAATATTTAAATAGATGACTAGCGCTCATAGTTTTCTTCTACGATTTATTCTTATACACATCTCTGACATCATTAAAATATATGCAATATATTTTTATTATCTCATTTGTTAAGTAGTCGGTGGCAGTCAATGATATGAATTGACACAATATATATGCATGTATAACTCTCATACCGAGTTTGATATAATAAAATTTTGGAGATTAAAATAAAAATTGTATATATGCTTCACCTCCTCTCATATCCAAATCTACTGTAAATATACTATCATTTACATTTTATTTTTTCTATTTCATCAAAATTAGAGATTTAAAGGAGCAAGACAAATACTTGTATACACCAACCCAAGTGATACCTAGGTGAGATAAATTTGAGTACTTTGAATTTTTATCATAAATATATATAATATATATATATATTGAAATAAATATACCATAACCCATAGAGTTGTAGATGTTAGGACTATTCGGTGATAAAATTAAAGTCAATATCAACATCATTTATAAATATTCAATAAGACTAACCTACCATGCAATATGCATACAAGTATTGGACCTCTTGCAAGCTGTAGCCAAGAGGCAAAATAGAATATATATTCCTTCATCTGGCTGGGTAAGTTGAAATTCAAAAAGGGTTCAAGTTCTACAAGCACTTTCAAAATCCCTCCAAAATGATTATCAAAATCATCATTTTCTAAAAAAAAATCCATTTAAAAGCGAGAAAATTGAAACATAAGATGAATGTGTGATATAAAAAAAAGATGCGTGAAAAAGAAATATGTTAGACTGTAGGGGCAACACATATATAAGATTCAATAGTGAAGAGCGTACCTATAATTTGAGCAAGTGCAACAGAGGGAAAGAAATGCAACAATAAGGTAATTATAACTATTGCAAAAGGATTAGCAAGAAAAAATGAATAGATATCAAATTCTGGAACTAAGTCATGCTAAATAAAAGTAAGCAAATTTGAATTAGCATCTTATGTAGCATTCAAGAAGAGTGAATAGAGTACCTATAAAGCCAAACCTAAGTTATTGACTCAAGGTTAATGATAGTGATAATTATGATCATAGGAATGTGGAAGCAAAATCTCATTTTTGAAAAGTGGAAGTGATTTTTAGTCTTCAAAAGATTTGTCCTGGAAAGATTTGTCCTGGTAACTTCTCTCTCTCTCTCTCTCACTCTCTCTCAACTCCAGTACAATGAATTGGGAATGGAGAAACTTTCTGATCTTGAGGAGATTCCTTACCTAATAAAAGGAGTGGCATCAAAGATAACCGAGAGTGATCAAACTTATCCAACTACAAATTACAAAATGAATTATTAAGAATCTCAAGCTGCTTATTCATTTGCTTTAGAAATTCAATCACAATTTCCCAAAGGTCAGGAATAACTCCTTTACAGTGGTTTCCATGATCATTATGGCTTTACCCTCAATAAATCGATCTTGGAGAGTGTCTCCTAAATTTAAGCATTTTGGTAATCAAAGGCCAAAAGTCTTCACAAAGACAAAAACTTATTAATGTTGAAGAGGTAAGAGACGAGAGGTTCAAACGAGCCATCTCTTGCAAACCTGCCAAGAGATTTTTAAAAGTTCAAGTGGAAGAAATAAAATTATACATCTTAAATAAGCAATACCATGATCCTAGGGAAAGGTGAATCCTTTTTGAACAAGTCTAATGCTATAAAATAATTACAGCAAAGTTCAAGATCAACGTAATTCCCTACTGAATTATTTGCACGTCTCTACTTGTGGAAAATTTGCTCTAAGCAAAGGATAATATCATTTAAAAAACAAGTGATGATTACCATTCAAAGAACAAACAGCACATGGTGAGTGATGTCGCAGTGCGTGTGAAATTTAACACAGACAGCAGTTCCATAAAATTTAAAATAACGTTTACATACACCAAAAAAAGTTATATATTAATTCTCACCGATACCGACATACCTCATAGGATTCTTGCAAGCTTCTAGAGTTGTCGCCTCAGTGCTTCCAGAAGCAGAACCAAAAACACGGAAAAGGTTGCTGGTTTAACATAATAACAAACATAATCATCAATATGAAAACAAATCAATGAATCCTTTAGCAAACAAATACAATAAACAATACCTATATGAACCAGTAGCTATCCGAAGCCCATCTCCACTCAAGCAGCACTCAAATTTGTCAAAGATTGAATCATTTTCATATAAGTCGCAAAGCTGCACAATATATTGCGCTGATATAAGGCAAACAAAAAATATAAAAAAAAACAGTAATTGGCTATATAGTAAAAAGTACCAATCAAGTCGCATTTCATAATAATCAAATTACCTTAGGCCTCAAATACTCGTGGACCTGGAAGGTTGCAAGTGGACCAGAATCCATGTTTATGTCCCACAGCTGAAAAATGAAAACGAATAAAAGAAAAGAAGCAGAAGACAGAAAGCAAAAAAGGGCCAGCAGATCTAAAAAATAGAACATAATTTTACTTCAGTAAAATTCCTGATGACAGCAAAATCAATAGGCCAAAGAATGCGTATAAACAATGATAAGATACCTGATTTATGATACCATGCATCTAGTATAATATTATACACTTGAAATTGCCAAAGGAAAGCCAAATAATATGAAAGCAAATATTACAGATAAATGTAGGAACATGACAGGATAACATACCTTAGCGTAAAGAGAGAGAAAGTGAAGGGGTGAGAGACAGCATAGATAAAGAAAAACAAATTTGACATCAGTTATTTGTGATAATAAGAGGCTATTTATTTTTAGAGAGAAATCACTATTAGGTGGTAGAGGAGACGAGGGACTCAATGTATGTTAAGAGAGCTCCAAGCTAGCTGTTTTATAAGTGAGATCACAATGCAGAAGAAATAATGACCGTCTCTTGCAATGCACGTAAGGGACATGCACAGAAGCCATTAGGAAACAAGATTATTGCCGAAGATAATGATGGCGTGGCAACTGAAAGAGATAAAGATTACCAGCATGGGTTGAAATAGGTCAATAATCATAACTCAGAGGTTATTTTTATAATTTTTTATGATTATTTTTATAATTTTTAATATAAATTTTAAAAAACAAAATTTCAAGGGTGCATTACACACTTTCAATATACTTGAATCCACACATATGCAGCATCTTGTGAGTAGTTGAATGTAACCATAGCCCCATATATAGTAAAATACCATATGGTAGCATGCACCGTATTACAGGCAGATGCAGGTTTAGGCTGCCCTTGCTAAAGAACTATGGACAACGAAAACTTAAAATAGTAACATCTTCAAAAAAACAGGATTAAAAAAACTACTTCACTCAAACTTCTAAGAATATAAAGGATATCTTTGCATCAAACTCACCAATTTAACACAAAATAAACACCAAATTGAAAAAATTCATTCATAACAGCGTATGAGTTTATCATTGGAACAAAAAAAAATATTGATAAGTAAAAGTAATTTATATCCCAACTATAAACTTAAAACCCTTTCAAGACAATTTCTGTAATCAGTTTCATTTGTCAGCCTGCTTTTCCACAAAAAAACAGTCGATTGGATAAACTTGATAGAAAAGCATCATAAAGTACTGCAGATCAAATGAATTAGTGGACATAAACTAAAGAAAAATATTTACACAACTTCAAAAATTCAATAATGAAAATATCAATTTAAATTGGATGGATAGAAAAAAAAACCTTAAGGGTCATGTAATCACGACTCAGAATATGTCGTCCATATTTTGAAAATTTAATATCTGAAATTGACGCAATGATCTCGGTGAAAAAAGACCTTGACCCAGGTGTCTCACGCTCCACAAACCTATTAGTTGCATTGTTTTACCAGAAGACAACCGATAAAGCAGTTTAAAAAAGGAACTGAATCAGTTGGCAATTTCATTTCCCACCCAGAACAAACAGAACTAAAAATGTATACCACTAAAATTAATATAAAATAAAGCCACTTACAACTTGGAGTGATTATCACACAAAGCTGATTGGCGCAAATCAACAAGTCGTATTGAGCCCTTAGAGCTACTATATGCGAGTGTATAACATTGCGTAGGATGAAACTCTGCTGACGTTATAACCTCTGCAAAGTATAAAAGAATGAATTACATCAAAATAATCATATGCTCAATATCATAACGCATGATTGAACAAAATTGAGATTGCAAATCTATCAAGTTCCATCAATAAACATATAAAAAGAAAACAAAAAAAGCGAAATTTACATAGTAGCACACAATTCTTATGTATTTATATATCTCAAACCTAAAATTTCATATTTACATACATAGCATTATGGTACTTTAAAGATCTAGTCGCATTAAACGTCGAATATCTGATGATCCAGTTAGGAGAGTAGATGTTTTAGATTTGACTTATGCTACGAAAAGTAGAGGTAGACCTAAAATAACTTAGGCATATTGTATAAAAAATGATCTTAATTTATTAGAATTAAATGAAAATATGACATTAAATAGGACACAATGGAGAAAAAGGATTCATGTCGCTGACCCCATTTTGTGAGATAAAGGCTTGTTGTTGTTTCAGTTGTAGCACTTTGTTACTTTAAAATGTATGAAAATGCATTTTTCACTTTTAAAGCGTGGTAATAGTGCTATTTTTTATGTGATATTAATGTTTTGTGTAAATATGAAAGGTTAGGTGTGAGATATGTAATAACTACATATGACTTGTGTGCTATGTATGTACATGCCCCCACAAAAGAAAAAAATGAGATGGAGTGCAAAGCCTTCCTGACTAAACATTAAACTGGAGCTAAAAATGGAAATTTAACTAAAAATGGAATTGTATCAAATGGAGAAAAATAATTTGACATGACGAAAAAAGTATGATACGTGGGATGTACAGCGATGAGGCAGTGAGGTTGTGGACATGGCTTCGTCATTAGAGCGGTAATCCACAAACAATAAATTTGGAATTTGCTCAATTTGGGTGAATTCCAAATTCATTAAAAAAAACCTATAGAGGTATTTTAAATTCCTCAGAAAATACTTTGAATTTATTTTACTACATACAAAACACCTGCAAAATCTAAAATAATGTTATTCCAAATTGCAGTACTTATTGTCAAAAAAAAACAGCCCCTTAAAAGGAATTGAAATAGATCATACCAAACACCCAACAACAACAACAACAACAACAAAGCCTTAATCCCACTACGTGGGGTCGGCTACATGAATCCTTTTTCTCCATTGCGTCCTATTTAGTGTCATATTTTCATTTAGTTCTAGTAAATTAAGATCATTTTTAATACAATAAGCCCAAGTCTTCCTAGGTCTACCTCTGCCTTTCTTAACACAAGTCGAATTTAAAACATCTACTCTCCTAATCGGATCATCTAATGGTCGACGTTTAATATGACCAAACCATCTAAGACGACTTTCTCTAATTTTGTCTGTCACAGGAGCTACACCAACCCTATCACGAATATATTCATTCCGCATTTTGTCTCTAAGTGTAAAGCCACTCATCCACCTAATCATTCTCATCCCGGCAACACTTAACTTATTATTATGCTTCGCTTTTAAAGGCCAACATTCAACGCCATAGAGCATTGCAGGTCTCACCACCATCTTATAAAATTTTCCTTTCAGTCTTAGCGGTACTTTTCTATCACACAAAAGGCCCGAAGCATTCCTCCACTTCAACCAACCAACTTGAATTCTACTATTAACATCCCCATCTATATCACCATCGCTTTGGACAACGGACCCAAGATATCTAAATCGTTCACACCTTTTAATAATTTGATCACCCAAAGTCACACTTCTGTCACTAGAGCTATTACTACTAAAATTACATTCCATGTATTCAATTTTAGT